GATGCCCGTAGAAAGTTACGCAAACTCTCAACAAGATACTACAGACATCATGACGTCGATGCACTTCGGCTGATTCTTGGTTTCCTTAACTCTACCTCACACAACCATGATTTGCGTTTGAAGAATGAAGAGAGCCGCGCACTAGCTAGCCCATCTAGAGTACATGCTCTCTCAGCACTCCTTAAGAAGCGATCGAATCGCACAAGAAATAACATTCCTCTTCTTATTCATGACACCAAAGCTTATAATAATCCAGTCGACATGTGTGAAATATTCAGCGGCTTATTTGCAGTCAGTTATCTGGAACCTATAGATTTTTCGTGTGACACCAGCGTGGTCTGCACTCCTAAAAGCTATTCTCCTCAACTAACGACAATAGATACGGTTGAATTCACATACTCTAGTATTCACCAAGCCATTAGGACTTCAAAATGCTCGAGCAGCGCTGGCGCAGACGGAATATCATCACATTCTTTTCAATTTGGTGGCCCTGAAATTCCATTAATATTACTTAAAATATTTTCTCTCTCCTTGGAATCTTTCACATACCCTGATACCTGGAGAACATCATTCATACTACCTAGATATAAATCTGGTTCAAAAACACTGGCCAGTAACTATAGACCAACAAATATTACGTCCGTAGTTTCTAGAATTATGGAGAACGCTATTAAGGAAAGCATTCTCCAGCACATGTATAGTGGCAACATCATCACGTCGAGTCAATATGGGTTCCTAAAATCGAGGTCCAGTATAACTTGCCATCATGACTTCTTTAACTTCATAACCACTATGCGCGACCGACACCAATTAGTCCTTGTACTCTATCTAGACATTTCAGAGGCACTCGACAGAGTCGACCACCTGCTGTTAATAAGTAGGTTGATGACTATGGGTATTGACTATCCACTATTGGGATGGATTAAGTCTTTCCTCAGTGATCGCACTCAAGTGGTGAAGGTGGATTCACACACTTCAAAACCTGGGCCAATCACCTCTGGTGTAGTTCAAGACAGTGCATTAGGTCCTCTTCTCTTTACTTTATACGTCAATGACATCTGCAGCCACCTCACACACGGTACCATAAGCTATTTTCAAAGCGAATTCGCCTGGCTTCTGTTTCTAGTCGACCTTCAGCCACAGAGATGATGCCGGTTTCTCATATTTAACCTTGTTCAGGAGGTTACTGTGCGGAAACGGCCACGGTGTACCTAATATACTTCAATAAACGGGAGGTTTAGTAATTTGTGAGGTTTGAGTTACCACCAAGTACCTATTGGAGCCAAGTGGTTGATTTATTTTCCTTTTTAGGCGAGTTTGTAAACGGAAATTGGATTTTGTGTCCAAAGCGCTAGCGACTGTGTAGCAAGACAGGTAGCAATGCCCCTGATCCAGTGGGTTTCTAGCTTCCATTGAGCACCAGCGTGTCTTGTAACATTACTTTGTACTGAAAAGTAACAATCCTTCTGTATTATGCTTGCTACTGGATTTTCCTTCTGTTGCTTACCGAGTTATCTGCATTTTTGAGTAGCGTATCCTAGGCTTCTGAGAATGCTGCGGTCTCAGCAGACATGACTGGAGGATTCCAGGAAGTGGTGTTGCCGAAGTCATTCCTCAGCTCGAAAGCTGTTGAAGATGCAGCCAATGAGTTTCAGAAAGTATGTGACTGTCGTATTTTACGATGAACATAGGTCACTTGCACTCACTATATTCCAGTGAAAAGCAAAGGATCGGGGGATACCCATTTAAAGCATACGGTTGCCGTTTTCAAGAATACTCTCGAAGTGGAACCTAAAGCTTGAGGTCTGGGGTTGATAAAAAGCCGTAATCCCTCCTACCCGTGAGAACAGCCTTAAGTACAAATTTCAAAACTGCCCACCAGTGTTTCGGTCTGCATTGAAGATGAGTGAGTACAATGTTAGACCTTACAAAATGGTCCATTCCCACCCCTGTACTCAGTCGTTCATGGTTTGATGTGCATTGAGCAGACGATCAGCTAAAGAAGAGAAGAAGAATTTAGGACCGTTTTTTTGCGGCATTCATCCTCTACAGACAGTGTTACTCTGCATGCCACAGGTGAATGCAACAAGGTTTTTGCGGCAAAGGACGTAAGAACCATGAAGTTGACCAGGAAAGTCCAAGCACTCACCCACCTCAAGGCTGCCACAACCCGTGAAAACGGCGGACAAGATGTCCTGGAAATCCAATTGGCACATTCAAACAAGTTTATTGCTTCTGGATGCCGGAGTTGAAAAATCGAAGACATTTGGCTCTCAGTCGTAATATTCATCAAGATAATGAATCTCTGGCGTGAAACGGTATTAACATACACGAAGTACAAAGTTCTGGAATCATCAATGAGGCACAAGAAGTAAACAGTTTGTGCATACATTCCCCCAGAAAATGTTCACCATATCTTAAGCAAAAAGTACAAACTGTTACAATGGAAGTATTAGCTTCAAGCTTTACTTTTCTGCAGGTAATACCTGTAGTGTCTAGATACAAACCGGGTTTTTTTGTTAATGCAAAGACAATACTTCCACTTGTTCAACTTGTAAGTTTTATGCATACTTATTCTGCTGGGATGTCCCATTGTGTGGACATGCAGCACTTATATCTTCTAGTGACAACCAGTGTGGATTGAGATCACCTTCCTTGAAGATACATGTAATTCATATATCAACTTATTCGTACCTGTAAGAATGGTGTGTACCTGTACATTGAGGAATAAACATTGTTATTCTTTTCATTAGATCGAATCTGGGGAAAATTTCCATTCCGCATATCGTCGCTGTCAAGTCGTAAACATGAGATATCGGCTAGCATTCTGGTGTTGTTTTTGGAGTTATGCCCTCGGTAATCACCGCTGGACGCCAGCGGTTGCCATCTTTTTCGGGAACCATTCGCAGTGATGATGCCCAGGGACTACTTAAAGGTTTGGATTGTACTCAGCTCCAGCATGTGGCTGAATTCTTTTTTCGTCGTTTTGAGTCTGTCGGGGCTAGACGGCGTGCTTTGATGCCACAGGTGGGCCTGTGGTCCTGACGTGATGCATAACATCGCTTGCTATGCACGGAAAAGTACGCTTTGGTTGTTGCGACTCTGGATACTTTTCTGAAACTATCTGATAGGACGCATCGCTCGATTGTTTAGTTCTAACGATGGCTACGTAGATAGTGCCGATAATGGATAACATACATTGTTATGTATTAGTCGTCGACGACGTGCATCTACGGGCAGATCGTAATGGTTCGTTAAATCTATGCCAATGATAGGCATAGAAACGTCAGCCAGGAGGAAAATCCAGTGAATAGGATTACGTTAACCAGAAATGATGTAGGCATACTATCTCACAAGAGTTGTGATCGCGCTGCAGTTAGCTGCAGAAGATTGGGGATTGGTCATGGTGACGTTTCTTAGTCGGTACGGTAAGGTCTCTAAATTCCGCACCAGTATCAACGAGGTAGGGAAACACTGCCTTCATAGTGGTGACGTAAAGAAAACGGCTTTTTCCTCCGGCCATGGCTGCTGTGAGTGTGCTGCGGTGGGGGACATTCTCGAGTTTGCGTGTGTCGATACTACATGGTTTCCGGTATTTTCTGGCTTCGTTCCCATGGGTGTTGTGAAACCAGCACCGCTTAGGGTTTCCCGTTCTGTTAGGTTCACTTTTTGGACTGCCACGCGAGTTGCTGCGATACGTCAAGATGCCTTTCTGCGGAGTGCTGTGTGAACTAGGACTTCGAGATCGTAGCGACTGTTTAACAGAGTTGCACAGCTTGGCCACCTCTGAATCCTGGCGATCTGGTTTGTCGCAGATAGAATATACGTTGGAGACGGGTCTGCTAGAAACCTGTACTATTTTATCTGCCGAGGCTTCCAGGTCATCGAGTGGGACTGACTGCGGTGTCACCAACACTGTTTGCACCGGTTGTGGTAGTTTTGGAGAAATAGTTCTCGGAAAGGGCCATTGTAGAATGTTCGTGTGTCAATAACTTCTCGCATGCGTGCGAGGACTTCAGTAGCTGAGTTGCCGCCTAGCCCGATGTTACGAGGCGATTTGTCTGGGTGCTGGCAATCTGTGAGATCGCTTTTCTTCAAGAGTGCTGCTTTGAGAAGTGCATAAGGATTACTTACTTCAGGAATAAACATGCGTGCCTTAACATGTCTATTTAATTCTCGCGGTAGCGAACGTATGACAGCAAGACATCGAGAATGTGGGCCTGCGAATCCCTGCTCCCTGAAACCTGCCTTGGCATACAGAAACCATGTTTCTGCATTGCCTGGCCAATATGGCACGAGTTGGATCGTGTTCGTAGTCTGCTTAATATGAATAAGCTTCTGGGGATGGTTGAAAAGTGTAAGGAGTTGTACTTGGATGTATAAAGGTTATCAAAATGGAAACAGTATACAAGTATAACATGGAACAGGCTCACCAATTCAGGAATTGTCTTGGTACGAACTCGACAGACGCAAAGACCAATCACTAATTATTCGGACTTGTCATACACTCACGAGTACGAGACCAAGGAAGAACATGATAGCGTAGTCGGATGGAATAGTATATCTGGGTGGTTGTACCAAGATACCGATGCGTTCCAACTAACTGGCTAAAGAGTCGAATACGAGCAGTGCAACGTAACACGACAGCGTGCCAAATGGTGAGAATGCTTGACCGGGTGCCTTCAGCTTAGTGAACCCAGTTAGACTATCAGGGTCAGCATCAGTGTCGAATCCTGTTAAACCCTAGGCTATTGATTTTGGGGAAGTGTGTGACTCTACAATACTACCTTGAGACCAGATTATTTACAAACATTTATCTCTATCCTTTCATTTTTTTCGGAACCAGGAAGATAATTGTGACCATTTCAAACCCATAACGTATTTCAATAAGATAGACGTATGATCTAAGGATACGCCGTTCACTAGTTTTACAAGACGAAGTTTGAAGTTTATAACAGCGCTTAATTTTAAGTGTGCGTCGACCTTAAATTTTTAAAGTTATGGCTAGTGGTTCTTCTGAAAATGCGGCTAAGATTGATCCAGTAGTCCTGGAAATTCAGAAAAAGTTATATAAAGACCTTTTAATACGTCAGGCAAATATGAAGAGAGGAAGTAAATACTGCGATATGAATATGGAGCCGTTCCCAAATGAGCGCGACCGTTTGGCATTACCTTTTACAGATGAAGATCGCATTGCTAGGAAAAAATACTTGAAGGACCAACTGTTATCAGATCGAGAACCAGTTAATGTGCCAGAGTGGACGCGTGTCAATATCTTCCGAAGGTTGTATAGAAAGCCATTCGATGCCCTTACGGATTTTGTCAGACCTGTTATAGTAAGTGTTTCTATTGTTTTCTCTACATTTTAAGGGGAAAGAAAATGCTCGTTTTTTCCGAATTCTCGTACCAAAGTTGACTACGGGGTTGCTGTTAGTGTGGCTCATTACCTATCGTGCGAAGTACTGTGATGTATGTTTCAAGTTTAATTTACTTAGCTGCCTAGAACTGGGAAAAGTATAATAAATCATTGACAGCAAAGGTATTAGTAAAGCCCATAATATTTCCAGTAAGTATTACATTTGCACGAGTATTTTCTTCAGGGTGAACCTGGTTTTCCCAATAATTCAAGATTAAAGAAAAACTTTGGAATGGAAGGTTTCGATGAGAGAACTGCTTTTCGTGGAGAAAAGTTGGTTACAAGTGGCTGCTGAGAAAACAATCAACCTGTAGAGAATTAGTGAATTAATATTCTAAGTATCGTTTTTGGTACTACAGCGTAAAAATGTGTGATCTGTCCACTTAGTGTTTTAGGACTTAACGACATTTATGACTCGATTGTAAATAAGCTAATAGTTATGAAAGCCAAATTTCCTGCGCACCACTCAGCAATATATTCTTTCTGTTTGGTGGAGTGAGTTGTGTTCTTTTTGAAAAGGTGTATTATTTGAGATATATGCCATTTTTGACTCGAAATATAATAGATGTACCAAGTCACTTCCGTGTTGATTAAGTTAAGTTCTAATTGTTATCACCTTTGAGAAGCATAAAAATGAAAAATGTCTTGCATGCTTAAATAATGAGTCCACAAAGGTGCATTGGAACATTCCGCTAGGTTACCGCAAACTGCGGTTGAGTGTCTACGGATTTGCACACCATATGGCGACCTTCAAGCGCTCACCGATATTTTCGCAGCACAGCTGTATCAATAAATGTATCCACATCATGTAGCTTGAACATTCTTATTATTGGTGATCAGTTGATCCCTGAAGGTCCTGTTTATTCACTAGCAGTGGTACTGCCCGAAAAGGGCAAAGGTAGTCACTGTAGTGTTTTGTATGACAAAGAACAGTTGAGAAAACATTTGTTGGTGCATCATCACTCTGGTTAGGCGGCAGAGATCAGTAGATCAAGATGATTTTAGATATCGTCTAGAATCGAAACCGGTGGTATTAGTGGCGCAGCTTTTGTGTTCTGCCTGCAACTGGAACTAATTATGACCGATAGCTGCTACCCTGACGTCGTAGTCAGTTAAATACATCACAATAAACCAACAAGCTATTCAAAATAGAATACTCCTACCCTTGAGGTCCTAACCTTCTGGAAAGATTTGTTGGATAGTGGTTAGACGGAATTAAGTTACCGTTATAGTGTAAAAGGCTACTCTGTGACGAGAGTTTGAAGGAGAGGTCGTACTAATGGCTGGTTGGAGTGTGATGGCAGTAAGGAGTTTCTCGCGGATGATCAGCAGTACCATGTTGATGCTTACTTTCTCATTAGGAGTAGTGGTTAGAAGAGGTGAGCCCGAATAGATCACAGTCCCTGCCATGCGGCATTCCATGCCGGTCGTACGGGTCAACAATTCTCAAAAGACTGACAGCCCACAAGCAGATGTCCCATAAGGTTTCTGGTCACATAAATCTCAGGTAACCCGAAGAAACAGCCTCCATAGAATGGGGAGGGGGTAAGCGCCAGCCAGTTGTACGCTGCCAGTATTACTCAAGACCCAATAAAACTTAACCTATCCCCCTCAACTCTGTCTCCTGCTCCTTCACCTCCCCATACTAATATTAAGCCTCATACACCTTCTCCAACCTTTCACTTTGCAACCATTGCCAACGATCAAAACCTCATTTCTAGTCTCCTAAGACCTGACCATCGATTTCTTTCTGGAGCTTTCAACGTCCAAACTCTAGACCGAATCAAACGTCATACCTCTCTCGCCAGAACTCTGGAATCTCGAGCTATGGATGTATACTGTCTCTGAGATATGTATACAGGACTCGTGTGTGGTTGTCGAATTGACCTCACCTGGCTATTGCAGTGAATCTTCGGAAACCCAGTGGGTAGCTCTCGTGGAATCGCTGGTGTGGGCATAGCATTCAGGTGTAGAGCAGAGAGTGCGCCGCACGACTGGATACTGGTCAACAGCCGTCCATATACTGTTCAACTGAATGCATCTGTAATGACTGGGATCGACCAGGAGACCAATTGATACCTATTCGTTATCTCCACCTGTACACCCAATGACTGCAGTTCGGATGATGCGAAGGGTGAATTGTACGAGAAGCTGTCATCATCATTATCAACATAGGACCAGGCATTACTGCGTAACGGTCCGAGTTGCCACACCTCATATCAGCACATCAAGTAAAAAGGTAGTGAGGTGAAGGATGAAGATAAGTGAATGCAGTCAAAAGAAATATAAAGTACGAGAAGAAAGGAAAGAGGAGTGACAAAATAGTGAGATTCGGTATAGCGTTGTTAAGATGAGGATAATGTGTGTATACATCTGCGCCACTGACTTCGGTTCTGAGCCATATCACCTAGGGTCTCCAACCACTGGTTCCTCTTGTCCCGTGGACCCCAACCACCTAGTCTGCATCGTCCTACATGGCTTAAACCAACAGTCAGAGACTTCATACATTGGTGCCATGTTTTAGTCTGGCCACCTCGGGCCTTTTTCCAGCCTGAACCCACCTCAGCCAACATTGTGTGACGAGGCAATCGGTGACTAGGCATACGTAGTACGTGTCCCAACCATCTCAGTCGATGAAGGTTCACAACCTCGTCGACTGACTTACCTCTTCTCCCTAAAACTCTACACCTAACTTCTGCATTACTCACATGGTGACACCACGGAATACGTCCTATACTACGAAGGCAACGGTGGTCAAATACCTGTAACCTTCTCATGTCTTCCACTTTCAATGGCCATGTTTCACAGCCATACAGTAGAACAGAGCGGACTGCTGTGCAGTACACGCGACCCTTAATAGACAAACGAATATCACGGCGGCGCCATAGGTGGCGCAAATTGGCAAAAGCCAATCGAGCCTTTTGTATCCGTGCAGAAATCTCATCGGCAACTAACCCACCAGGGTTGATCCTACTTCCCAGGTAAGTGAAGTGGTCAACACACTCAACCACTTCACTCTCTATTGTTAACCGCGGTACCGCTGAAGACCAGTCCTGGAGCAAAAATTTGCATTTGGGTGGTGAAAATCGCATCCCAAACATTCTCAAATTCCCACTCAAAGTGTTCAGAAGACTCTGCATCTTGTCAGCGTCTTCACCTAACAGGACTATGTCATCTGCATATTCTAGATCTAAGGAAAATTCACCTGTGATCCGGTCAACGTCTTTGTAATTAGGTGACGAGAGGGAAACCTCCATAAGAATATCTATGATAAAATTAAATAAGAATGGGGATAGTGGGCATCCTTGACGGACACCACTTGATGAGTATAGCTCCCTGGACAACTCACCATAGGCTCTAACATGCCCACAAGTGTTCGAGTAGAGAGCTTTCAATAAGGTGATGTACTTACTAGGCACGCCTTTCAGTGACAGACACTGCCATAAGACTTCTCGATCAACGGAGTCAAATGCCGCCTTCAGGTCGAGAAATACAGCTATTGTCGGGCGTCTGTAAGCATGCCTATGTTCCAGGACCTGGCGCAGTGTGAATATTTGGTCGATACATCCACGGCCAGGTCTAAAGCCTGCCTGGTTTTCTCGGGCTTGCTGTTCCCGAGCTCCACTCAGGCGTCGGAGAATTATAGAACTTAGGATCTTAGACACTATGTTTGTCAGGCTGATTCCTCTGTGGTTATCACAAGAGGACTTCTCGCCTTTCTTGAAGACTGGGATGATGAGTGACTTAGACCAGTCGGAGGGGATCGTATTTGATTCCCATATACTGGCTAACACTTCCGTTAGCCTGACTAAGAGAACTCTACCACCATTCTTGTATACCTCAGCAGGTAGTCCGTCTGGTCCTGCTGCCCTTCCCCGTTTCAGGCTACCTACCGCTTTCTCAACTTCTTCTAGTGTTGGGGGACCTGTCTCTATGTCCCATTCAGGGTCCGACTGGATAGCGGGCAGCGCAATGGTGGCTGGAGGCCAGTTAAACTGTTCCTCAAAGTGTTCTGCCCATCGTCCCAGTCGCCTTCCCTGCGAGTGAATCGCCGATCCGTCCTTCTCCGCTATAACCTCACTAACTGTTGTTGACCATTTCCCCCCAGTCTCCTTAATAAGTCTAAATAACTGTCTACTGTTACCGATCGCCGCTGCCTTTTCCATCTCTTTAGCCTTTGCTGCCCACCACTGTTCACGATCGTTGCGCAGACTTTTCGTCAGTTTATTTTTAAGTTGCGCTCGCTCTTCATTGTACTCAGAGCCTGCAGGGATGCATTCACGTGCATCCATTAGTTTGGAAGAAGCTGCTGATATCCACTGGCTCTTTTTAGCCATTATCTTGGAGTCGGCTACAGTCTCCAGTGCTGCTTTTACAGTAGACTGAAGATGGCACCAAGCTTCTTCTGGATGAGTGACAGTCTTTTGTTCCGATAACTGCCTAGCCAACTTCTCACTGAACACGGCTTTGGTGTTTTCGTTGTCCAGCAGAACTCGTAGTGGTTTTGTTGCCAAATTTTTCTACGTCCATTGAGACGCAGGCATATACGTGCTCGGACCAACGCATGATCGCTGTCCAAACACGTACTCCAGAAGGAGCGGCAGTCTTCCACCGATCCTCTCCAGCGATGACTAATAGCAATGTGGTCTATCTGTGTCCATCGCTGAGTCGAGCTCGGTGGACGCCAGGTCAGACAGTGCCTTTCTTTATGTCTGAAATTTGTGCTGGCTAAAAATAGGCGGTTATCTGAGCATAGTTGTAATAGGCGATCACCGTTATCTGTACGTTCAGCTGGGATTCCGAAAGTGCCACCTAAGTGCCTTTCTGCCTCACTCAGTCTACCCACCTGTGCGTTGAGGTCACCTGCAACAACCACTACGTCCGAACGTTTGGCTTTCGAGAGGAGGTTAGACAGTTTATGGTAGAACTCGTCCTTCACTTCATCCGAACTACAGTCAGTGGGTGCGTAAGCAGAGATTACAAAGAGACAACGGCGAGTCTCACTATTCCTTTTAGTTCTCACTGTGCCGTTCAGCCTCATAGCGCAGAGGCGACTATCAACTGGGATCCAGTCTAGTAGTGAGTTTTCTGCCCTGGTGCTTAATGCTATACCTACACCTGCAAGACCACGAGAGCTAGCTATCGAATCTCCAGAAACTCGAAGGGTGAATTTTGCAGATTCACCAGATTGGTCAGGAGAGGTCAGGTGAATAACCACACTTGGGTCCTGTATGCGTGTCTCACAAACACAGCACACATCCATGCCCGAGTTGCTAGAGTCTTTGCCAACGAAGC